TAACACGTGTTCATCAGGTAGATCTAACACGCGTTCATCATGTAGATCTAACACGCGTTCATCAGGTAGATCTAACACGCGTTCATCAGGTAGATCTAACACGTGTTCATCAGGTAGATCTAACACGCGTTCATCAGGTAGATCTAACACGCGTTCATCAGGTAGATCTAACACGTGTTCATCATGTAGATCTAACACATGTTCATCATGTAGATCTAACACGCGTTCATCAGGTAGATCTAACACGCGTTCATCAGGTAGATCTAACACGTGTTCATCAGGTAGATCTAACACGTGTTCATCATGTAGATCTAACACGTGTTCATCATGTAGATCTAACACGCGTTCATCATGTAGATCTAACACGCGTTCATCATGTAGATCTAACACGCGTTCATCAGGTAGATCTAACACGCGTTCATCAGGTAGATCTAAACACGCGTTCATCAGGTAGATCTAACACGTGTTCATCAGGTAGATCTAACACGTGTTCATCATGTAGATCTAACACGTGTTCATCATGTAGATCTAACACGTGTTCATCATGTAGATCTAACACGCGTTCATCAGGTAGATCTAACACGCGTTCATCAGGTAGATCTAACACGCGTTCATCATGTAGATCTAACACGCGTTCATCATGTAGATCTAACACGTGTTCATCATGTAGATCTAACACGCGTTCATCATGTAGATCTAACACGCGTTCATCAGGTAGATCTAACACGTGTTCATCATGTAGATCTAACACGTGTTCATCATGTAGATCTAACACGTGTTCATCAGGTAGATCTAACACGTGTTCATCATGTAGATCTAACACGTGTTCATCATGTAGATCTAACACGTGTTCATCATGTAGATCTAACACGTGTTCATCAGGTAGATCTAACACGTGTTCATCATGTAGATCTAACACGTGTTCATCATGTAGATCTAACACGTGTTCATCATGTAGATCTAACACGCGTTCATCATGTAGATCTAACACGTGTTCATCATGTAGATCTAACACGCGTTCATCATGTAGATCTAACACGCGTTCATCATGTAGATCTAACACGCGTTCATCATGTAGATCTAACACGCGTTCATCAGGTAGATCTAACACGTGTTCATCAGGTAGATCTAACACGTGTTCATCATGTAGATCTAACACGTGTTCATCATGTAGATCTAACACGTGTTATCATGTAGATCCTAACCGTGTTTCATCAGGTAGATCTAACACGTGTTCATCATGTAGATCTAACACGTGTTCATCATGGTAGATCTAACACGTGTTCATCATGTAGATCTAACACGTGTTCATCATGTAGATCTAACACGTGTTCATCATGTAGATCTAACACGTGTTCATCAGGTAGATCTAACACGTGTTCATCAGGTAGATCTAACACGTGTTCATCAGGTAGATCTAACACGTGTTCATCAGGTAGATCTAACACGTGTTCATCAGGTAGATCTAACACGTGTTCATCATGTAGATCTAACACGTGTTCATCATGTAGATCTAACACGTGTTCATCATGTAGATCTAACACGTGTTCATCATGTAGATCTAACACGCGTTCATCATGTAGATCTAACACGTGTTCATCATGTAGATCTAACACGCGTTCATCATGTAGATCTAACACGCGTTCATCATGTAGATCTAACACGCGTTCATCAGGTAGATCTAACACGTGTTCATCAGGTAGATCTAACACGTGTTCATCAGGTAGATCTAACACGTGTTCATCATGTAGATCTAACACGTGTCATCATGTAGATCTAACACGTGTTCATAATGTAATCTAACACGTGTTCATCAGGTAGATCTAACACGTGTTCATCATGTAGATCTAACACGTGTTCATCATGTAGATCTAACACGCGTTCATCAGGTAGATCTAAACACGTGTTCATCAGGTAGATCTAACACGTGTTCATCAGGTAGATCTACTAACACGTGTTCATCATGTAGATCTAACACGTGTTCATCATGTAGATCTAACACGTGTTCATCAGGTAGATCTAACACGTGTTCATCATGTAGATCTAACACGTGTTCATCATGTAGATCTAACACGCGTTCATCAGGTAGATCTAACACGTGTTCATCAGGTAGATCTAACACGCGTTCATCAGGTAGATCTAACACGTGTTCATCAGGTAGATCTAACACGTGTTCATCATGTAGATCTAACACGTGTTCATCATGTAGATCTAACACGTGTTCATCAGGTAGATCTAACACGTGTTCATCATGTAGATCTAACACGTGTTCATCATGTAGATCTAACACGCGTTCATCATGTAGATCTAACACGTGTTCATCAGGTAGATCTAACACGTGTTCATCAGGTAGATCTAACACGTGTTCATCATGTAGATCTAACACGTGTTCATCATGTAGATCTAACACGTGTTCATCAGGTAGATCTAACACGTGTTCATCAGGTAGATCTAACACGTGTTCATCATGTAGATCTAACACGTAGACGTCAGTAGGGATGTCCCGATCACCTTTTTTTGCTCCCGATCCGATTCCGATCATTTGATTTGGACAATCTGCCGATACCGATTTTTCCCGATCCGATCTTTATGCAATGCATTGAGAGAAAAAAAAGGTAACAGATAACGGCTGGTCATCCAACGCGATGAATTCAGCTATCTTGGCTGTTCTGGGGCAGTTTCTCTTTCCTTTGAAAAGTCTCTGAAAGTGTCGGTTGTTTCAGTGCCGTTACCTGAGTGGCCGCTGTGTACTCCTCGTGTTGTTGTTGGTGTTTGTATTAGATTGGTCGTGTTGAACGTAGCTCTGTTCTTTCCACCACGCGGAACCTCCGCCTTGCAAACATTGCATCTGGCTGTTACACTGCCTTCGCTTTCAATTTTATAATACTTCCAAACTCCTGACATTTTCTCTGTCCCGACTCCAGAGGCACCAGCTGAACGTAGCCTCCCGAGTCACCGGCTGAACGTAGCCTCTCGTTACACCAGCTGAACGTAGCCTCTCGTTACACCGGCTGAACGTAGCCTCTCGTTACACCAGCTGAACGTAGCCTCTCGTTTCACCGGCTGAACGTAGCCTCTCGTTACACCGGCTGAACGTAGCCTCTCGTTACACCGGCTGAACGTAGCCTCTCGTTACACCGGCTGAACGTAGCCTCTCGTTACACCGGCTGAACGTAGCCTCTCGTTACACCGGCTGAACGTAGCCTCTCGTTACACCGGCTGAACGTAGCCTCCCGAGTCACCGGCTGAACGTAGCCTCTCGTTACACCGGCTGAACGTAGCCTCTCGTTACACCGGCTGAACGTAGCCTCTCGTTACACCGGCTGAACGTAGCCTCTCGTTACACCGGCTGAACGTAGCCTCTCGTTACACCGGCTGAACGTAGCCTCTCGTTACACCGGCTGAACGTAGCCTCTCGTTAGCTTACTGCTACTATTAGACACTGCGCCCACTCTGTTGCCAGATTTGAGAGAAATAAGCAACCAGGGGCCTCATTTATAAAGGGATATACGCTCAAAAAATGGCGTACGCCAGTTTCTACGCAATGTTTGCGATTTATAAAATACTAACTTGACGGGAAAATGTGCGGTCCTCCACGCAAACTCTAACCCATGCGTACGCACTAAGCACACAAACGGGAGAGACGAGAAACTGCGACACCGTTGGCAGAAGGAAGAATGGAGAGAAATATGTGGAAATAATACCATCAATAAAATGTTACCTCTCATTTATCAAATATGAAGAATTCATTTTCAAACATTGATTAAAGCCAATCTTAAAATGATGAAACAAACGCCTGTTTGAGACTCCTCAGTGCACACAAACACATCACTTGGAGAAATAAATAAATACGGATATGTTATTTAAAACCACCTGGAATATGTTGTGTTAATGTTATGAAATGTTTTCTCATAAATGATGCGGTAAGCAGGAGGACAGAATTACGTCTAAACTGACGCCGTTTTGCATTTCTATAGGTTGTAGATACGAGCATGGTTTTATATACTATCACGTTTAATCGTGTTTTATGCCGTTTGCCAAGACTTGATAAGTGGCTCGTAAAACCCAGGAGGTATGGAAACTAAGAACACCATATGTGGTAAACAGCTAATATAACACAACACATTGTATTTCCTTTAACTGGTGGATTATGGATATATAGTTGCTGATCGACAGCTGGAACACAAACCACCAAATACAACACAATAATTCAGATCCAGTCGTCATGACTACACTCCGGAGGGATTCCCCCATCATTTCTTACAGTTTCTCATCAAGGGGGGGGTCTCCTGTCCCCGGGACAAACACACTGCCTGAGGAAGGTTATGTGTATTTATTTTGTCATTAACTTTTTTCGGACCACTTATTTCTTTATGTTGGTGACGATCCGACCTCCATGCTGCTACTCTGGTTCAAACTGCATCCACCAAACAATATGATTTATCTCGACCTCCCCAAAATAACCTAAATCTGACACGGTGTGAGATGTCTCTTTGTTAGCTGTTCTGTCCTCATTTCCTGATCTTCTTCATGCAGTCAGTCAGAATGAATGGATGGGCGTTTCTTTGACTATGTATAGGCAAATATGGGCGTTACGAGTCGATTGTGATTTATCAAGGGAAACAGGCGTAGGGAGTGCTGTACGCACTTCCCTCGCCGGTACGCAATGTTTTGTGAATCGGAAAATGGCGGAAAATGTATGTACCTATTTTTGTGCTTTGTACTACGTAAGCAACCTTCCTACGTGAATCCTACGCAAGGCGTTATAAATGAGGCCCCAGGTCGATGAAAACAAGCCCAAAAGAAGCAACACATACATGATGTTGTGTAATTTTGAACTAAGGCCTCAGGATGACTTTAAGACGTGAACATGGTCATTTTTGTTTTGTAACATTAAATAAAATACAGATATTTTATTAAAGAAAAATCCCGATCCCCGATTTTTTGAAAATCACGTGATCGGATCATCTCTAGACGTCATGCTTTCATCAGACACAGAGTGAAGAAAGAGAAACCCTTTATTGCATCGTCTTCATCACTTCTCTTCTTCACATGTTATGGAATGACTTCAGGTTAGCCCCGCCCCCCACAGGTGTGTGTGTTAAGCCCCGCCCCCCCACAGATGTGTGTTAAGCCCCGCCCCCACAGGTGTGTGTGTTAAGCCCCGCCCCCCACAGGTGTGTGTGTTAAGCCCCGCCCCCCACAGGTGTGTGTGTTAAGCCCCACCCCCACAGGTGTGTGTGTTAAGCCCCGCCCCCACAGATGTGTGTGTTAAGCCCCGCCCCCCACAGGTGTGTGTTAAGCCCCGCCCCCTCACAGGTGTGTTAAGCCCCACCCCTTCCTTTCACATGATTTTAAAACATGCGGATTCAAAGAGGTCAGAGGTCAGAGTCCATGACATCACTTCCTCCCACAGACGACACATATAATTTAAAAAACAAAACAGTTCAGTGAATTCCTCCTCTTCATCTTCATCCTCCTCAGCGTTTGGACAGCTCGTTGGACAGCCAATCGAGACCCTCGTAGAGCCCGGTGCCCTGTGTCGCGCAGGTCGCCTGAACGTGCCACTGAGGAGACATGTGACAGAGTGACAGCCAATCAGAGAGCAGCAGGCACAGCATTTCAAAATAAGAGCACACCTCATTCAGCTATTAGTACACAGGACTGTGTACTAATACTACACTCTGCAGTATTAGTACACAGGACTGTGCAGTACTACAGTCTGTAGTATTAGTACACAGGACTGTGCAGTATTAGTACACAGGACTGTGCAGTACTACACTCTGCAGTATTAGTACACAGGACTGTGCAGTACTACAGTCTGCAGTATTAGTACACAGGACTGTGCAGTACTACAGTCTGCAGTATTAGTACACAGGACTGTGCAGTACTACAGTCTGCAGTATTAGTACACAGGACTGTGCAGTACTACAGTCTGCAGTATTAGTACACAGGACTGTGCAGTACTACAGTCTGCAGTATTAGTACACAGGACTGTGCAGTACTACACTCTGCAGTATTAGCAGTATTAGTACACAGGACTCACAGTCTTGCTCCTCAGGCTGTGCAGTACTACAGTCTGTAGTAGTATTAGTAGTATTAGTACACAGGACTCATGGGGTGTTTCTCAATCGCGAGTACGCTTGCTTGGTAGCACATGTCTGCCGAGCATCTTGCTTCAGAAGCGAGTCAAGAATACTTCCTGGCATTTGGAAAACAAAGAGTGGAACAGGCTAGCAAGTGTGCAGGTGTGCGTCATATGAGAGGCCCCGCCTCTTACATCTTCCACCACAGATTTGGGGAAATTGGTCCGTGCGCAAAGCATTGTGGGGATTTTAAGACCGCGGAGTCTACTCATGTGCAGCCTCGATATTTCTCCAAACGGAGTACGCCGGGCTCGGTAGATTTCCAAGTATGCTGGACATTGGAACAGTACTTCGGAGGGACTCGATGACGTAGTATGCTTGAAATAGTGGCTCTGAAGCAGCTTTACTCGAGATTGAGAAACACCCAGAGTCTTGCTCCTCAGGCTGTGCAGTACTACAGTCTGTAGTAGTACTAGTAGTATTAGTAGTATTAGCAGTATTAGTACACAGGACTCACAGTCTTGCTCCTCAGGCTGTGCAGTACTACAGTCTGTAGTAGTACTAGTAGTATTAGTAGTATTAGCAGTATTAGTACACAGGACTCACAGTCTTGCTCCTCAGGCTGTGCAGTACTACAGTCTGTAGTAGTATTAGCAGTATTAGCAGTATTAGTAGTATTAGTAGTATTAGCAGTATTAGTACACAGGACTCACAGTCTTGCTCCTCAGGCTGTGCAGCCCCAGCTTGTCGGTGAGTTCGCTCACTGCCATGGCGTTGGGGAGATCTTGTTTGTTTGCGAAGACGAGCAGCACGGCTTCCTTCAGCTCGTCCTCCTGGATCTACAGAGACACACCGACCAGATATAGATATATATATATATATATATATACACACACTATATACACTATGTGGTATATAATAAGAGTGGGTACAGACCATCTTGGAGAGCTCCTCCGCTGACTCAGCGACTCTCTCTCTGTCGTTACTGTCCACCACGAAGATCAGACCCTGAACACACCACACACACTCTCATTAGAGCTCAAAACACACTGTTTACCACGAAGATCAGACCCTGAACACACCACACACACTCTCATTAGAGCTCAATACACACTGTCCACCACGAAGATAAGACCCTGAACACACCACACACACTCTCATTAGAGCTCAAAACACACTGTTTACCACGAAGATCAGACCCTGAACACACCACACACACACTCTCATTAGAGCTCAATACACACTGTCCACCACGAAGATCAGACCCTGAACACACCACACACACTCTCATTAGAGCTCAAAACACACTGTTTACCACGAAGATCAGACCCTGAACACACCACACACACTCTCATTAGAGCTCAATACACACTGTTTACCACGAAGATCAGACCCTGAACACACCACACACACTCTCATTAGAGCTCAATACACACTGTTTACCACGAAGATCAGACCCTGAACACACCACACACACTCTCATTAGAGCTCAATACACACTGTTTACCACGAAGATCAGACCCTGAACACACCACACACACTCTCATTAGAGCTCAATACACACTGTCTACCACGAAGATCAGACCCTGAACACACCACACACACTCTCATTAGAGCTCAATACACACTGTTTACCACGAAGATCAGACCCTGAACACACCACACACACTCTCATTAGAGCTCAATACACACTGTTTACCACGAAGATCAGACCCTGAACACACCACACACACTCTCATTAGAGCTCAATACACACTGTCCACCACGAAGATCAGACCCTGAACACACCACACACACTCTCATTAGAGCTCAATACACACTGTTTACCACGAAGATCAGACCCTGAACACACCACACACACTCTCATTAGAGCTCAAAACACACTGTTTACCACGAAGATCAGACCCTGAAACACACCAACACACTCTCATTAGAGCTCAATACACACTGTTCCACCACGAAGATCCAGACCCTGAACACACACACACACTCTCATTAGAGCTCAATAACACTGTTTACCACGAAGATCAGACCCTGAACACCACCCACATCACTCATAGGAGCTCAATACACACTGTTTTACCACCGAAGATCAGACCCTGCAACACACCACACACACTCATTAGAGCTCAATACACACTGTTTACCACGAAGATCAGACCCTGAACACACCACACACACTCTATTAGAGCTCAATACACACTGTCCCACACGAAGATCAGACCCTGAACACACCACACACACTCTCATTAGAGCTCATACACACTGTTTACCACGAAGATCAGACCCTGAAAACACACCACCACCACTCTCATTAGAGCTCAATACACACTGTTTACCACGAAGATCAGACCCCTGAACACCCACACACACTCTCATTAGAGCTCAATACACACTGTTTACCACGAAGATCAGACCCTGAACACACCACACACACTCTCATTAGAGCTCAATACACACTGTTTACCACGAAGATCAGACCCTGAACACACCACACACACTCATTAGAGCTCAATACACACTGTCCACCACGAAGATCAGACCCTGAACACACCACACACTCTCATTAGAGCTCAATACACACTGTTTACCACGAAGATCAGACCCTGAACACACCACACACACTCTCATTAGAGCTCAATACACACTGTTTACCACGAAGATCAGACCCTGAACACACCACACACACTCATTAGAGCTCAATACACACTGTTTACCACGAAGATCAGACCCTGAACACACCACACACACTCTCATTAGAGCTCAATACACACTGTTTACCATGAAGATCAGACCCTGAACACACCACACACACTCTCATTAGAGCTCAATACACACCGTTTACCACGAAGATCAGACCCTGAACACACCACACACTCTCATTAGAGCTCAATACACACTGTCCACCACGAAGATCAGACCCTGAACACACCACACACACTCTCATTAGAGCTCAATACACACTGTTTACCACGAAGATCAGACCCTGAACACACCACACACACTCATTAGAGCTCAATAACACTGGTTTACCACGAAGATCAGACCCTGAACACACCACACACACTCTCATTAGAGCTCAATACACACTGTTTACCATGAAGATCAGACCCTGAACACACCACACACACTCTCATTAGAGCTCAATACACACCGTTTACCACGAAGATCAGACCCTGAACACACCACACACTCTCATTAGAGCTCAATACACACCGTTTACCACGAAGATCAGACCCTGAACACACCACACACTCTCATTAGAGCTCAATACACACTGTTTACCATGAAGATCAGACCCTGAACACACCACACACACTCTCATTAGAGCTCAATACACACTGTTTACCACGAAGATCAGACCCTGAACACACCACACACACTCTCATTAGAGCTCAATACACACTGTTTACCATGAAGATCAGACCCTGAACCACACCACACACACTCTCATTAGAGCTCAATACACACTGTTTACCATGAAGATCAGACCCTGAACACACCCACACACTCTCATTAGAGCTCAATTACACACCGTTTACCACGAAGATCAGACCCTGAACACACCACACACTCTCATTAGAGCTCACTACACCACCGTTTACCACGAAGATCAGGACCCTGATACACCACCACACACACTTTCATTTAGAGCTCAATCAACCCTGCTTTACCACGAAGATCCGACCCTGAAACACACAACCCACACACTCTCATTAGAGCTCAATACACCTGTTTACCACGAAGATCAGACCCTGAACCACCACCCAACACACTCTCATTAGAGCTCAATACACACTGTTTACCACGAAGATTCAGACCCCTGGAACACCACCACACACACTCTCTATCTAGAGCCTCCAATTACACCACTGTTTACCACGAAGATCAGACCCTTGAACACACCACCACACACTCTCATTAGAGCTCAATACACACTGTTTACCACGAAGATCAGACCCTGAAACACACACACACACTCTCATTAGAGCTCAATACACACTGTTTACCCACGAAGATCAGACCCTGAACACCACCACACACACTCATTAGAGCTCAATACCAACACCTGTCACCACGAAGATCAGACCCTGAACAACCACACACTCTCATTAGAGCTCAATACATACTGTTTACCACGAAGATCAGGACCCTGAACACACCACACACACTCTCATTAGAGCTCAATACACACTGCTTTTACCACGAAGATCAGACCCTGAACACACCACACACACTCATTAGAGCTCAATAACACTGTTTAACACGAAGATCAGACCTGAACACACCACACACACTCTCATTAGAGCTCAATACACACTGTTTACCATGAAGATCAGACCCTGAACACACCACACACACTCTCATTAGAGCTCAATACACACCGTTTACCACGAAGATCAGACCCTGAACACACCACACACTCTCATTAGAGCTCAATACACACTGTCCACCACGAAGATCAGACCCTGAACACACCACACACACTCTCATTAGAGCTCAATACACACTGTCCACCACGAAGATCAGACCCTGAACACACCACACACACTCTCATTAGAGCTCAATACACACTGTTTACCACGAAGATCAGACCCTGAACACACCACACACACTCATTAGAGCTCAATAAACACTGTTTACCACGAAGATCAGACCCTGAACACACCACACACACTCTCATTAGAGCTCAATACACACTGTTTACCATGAAGATCAGACCCTGAACACACCACACACACTCTCATTAGAGCTCAATACACACCGTTTACCACGAAGATCAGACCCTGAACACACCACACACTCTCATTAGAGCTCAATACACACCGTTTACCACGAAGATCAGACCCTGAACACACCACACACACTCTCATTAGAGCTCAATACACACTGTTTACCACGAAGATCAGACCCTGAACACACCACACACACTCATTAGAGCTCAATAAACACTGTTTACCACGAAGATCAGACCCTGAACACACCACACACACTCTCATTAGAGCTCAATACACACTGTTTACCATGAAGATCAGACCCTGAACACACCACACACACTCTCATTAGAGCTCAATACACACCGTTTACCACGAAGATCAGACCCTGAACACACCACACACTCTCATTAGAGCTCAATACACACCGTTTACCACGAAGATCAGACCCTGAACACACCACACACACTCTCATTAGAGCTCAATACACACTGTTTACCACGAAGATCAGACCCTGAACACACCACACACACTCTCATTAGAGCTCAATACACACTGTTTACCACGAAGATCAGACCCTGAACACACCACACACACTCATTAGAGCTCAATACACACTGTTTACCATGAAGATCAGACCCTGAACACACCACACACTCTCATTAGAGCTCAATACACACTGTAGTGTACAGGTGTATTTGGTAGTGTTATATGTAGTACCTGTGTATTCTGGAAGTAGTGTCTCCACAGCGGGCGGATCTTGTCCTGCCCCCCCACGTCCCACACCGTGAAGCAGATGTTCTTATACTCCACCGTCTCTACGTTAAAGCCTGCACACACACACGCACACAGTCACACACACACAGTCACACACACAGTCACACACACACACACACACACACACACACACACACACACACACACACACACACACACACACACACACACACAGAGTTAGTGTACTTGTTTATGTATTGTGTGTTGTTACTTCCTGTGTGTACTGACCGATGGTTGGGATGGTGGTGACGATCTCTCCCAGCTTGAGTTTGTAGAGGATCGTCGTTTTACCTGCTGCGTCCAGACCCACTGAAACACACACACACACACTTTAATTACACACAACAGACCCACTGAAACACACACACACTTTAAGTACACACAACAGACCCACTGAAACACACACACACTTTAATTACACACAACAGACCCACTGAAACACACACACACTTTAAGTACACACAACAGACCCACTGAAACACACACACACTTTAATTACACACAACAGACCCACTGAAACACACACACACTTTAATTACACACAACAGACCCACTGAAACAGACACACAATTCAACAAAGAAAACCAACTTTACCAACAGAAAACGGTATGTAAAATAGCAGTTAGCCTAGCCTCAGGGTTACTGTAGTTGATGTCACTGACAGTTAGCCTGTTAGCCTAGCCTCAGGGTTAGTGTAGTTGATGTCACTGACAGTTAGCCTGTTAGCCTAGCCTCAGGGTTACTGTAGTTGATGTCACTGACAGTTAGCCTGATAGCCTAGCCTCAGGGTTAGTGTAGTTTATGTCACTGACAGTTAGCCTGTTAGCCTAGCCTCAGAGTTACTGTAGTTGATGTCACTGACAGTTAGCCTGTTAGCCTAGCCTCAGAGTTACTGTAGTTGATGTCACTGACAGTTAGCCTGTTAGCCTAGCCTCAGGGTTAGTGTAGTTTATGTCACTGACAGTTAGCCTGATAGCCTAGCCTCAGAGTTACTGTAGTTTAAGTCACTGACAGTTAGCCTGATAGCCTAGCCTCAGAGTTACTGTAGTTGATGTCACTGACAGTTAGCCTGTTAGCTGTTAGCCTAGCCTCAGAGTTACTGTAGTTTAAGTCACTGACAGTTAAGCTGTTAGCCTGTTAGCTGTTAGCTTGTTAGCCTGCTCTCACCCATCAGGATCCGCATCTGCTTCTTCCCGAAGAACCGGGAGAACAGCGAGGAGATGGTCAGCCCCATCTTTAGAGTCCCGTCCAGCGGCGGGGGGTAGGAGCCTGCGGGGGAGAAAGAGGAGCCGGTAATCAGCCGGTTAGCAGCCTGAGATGAGCCGGTAAACAGCCAGTAATCAGCCGGTTTTCAGGGGGTAAACAGAGCTAACTCAGACCCGGATCCTCTCTCCTCTCGGTGCCACGTCGAGGCCAACGGGGAACTAATGACGTCACTCATCTGACACACAACAGTGCCGTGTTCAGGGCCTCACACAAAATCAGAACTCCTGGATTCCTCCCACAAAAGGGACGTGTAGTGTTACAGTGAGAGGGAGCATAGCAGTTAAAATACAATACATAATAATCATAAAATACAAATAATAAGAAAGAAAAGCACACATTATTAATATAATAAATAATAATCATAAAATTAAAATAAAGGCATGAAATAATGAGAAATATAAACAAAAACAGTACACAATCATGGCTAACAAATGAATAGTGACATAGAAAGCATATTAAAGTATTGTGATATTACATATTTAAAGTACTAGTATCTGGAGTTGGTAAACAAATAAAATAAACAAAATACTTTTAATTATATGTATTATGTTTAAGATCATCATTCGGTTTGTCCCGACTGCAGTGAACGCAGCACCGGTTCCTCCTCACTTCCGGTTCAGAGCAACATGGCGGATGTTCCTCGGTCTGAGTGTTTCTTTTAATATCCTCAGTTTTCAGGATAAACACTGTGAGAAAGAGCGACGGATCTGTTCATAAACACCGCGTGTTGGAGCTGAGAGAGAGCGGGACTCACGGTAAGGAACACACCGGGAATATTACCGTGTTAGGAACTCTCTATTATAACCAGATGCACTTATCTATCATTCATTTATCAACTAATACATGATATAGATATTGATTAAAGAGCTCCACCAGCTGCAGCATTAAGGTGATGAAGAAGAAGGAGTGTAATAAAGACAAGTGTCATCATGTTCCAAACCACATGAAGGATTCTCTCTGAAACAGTATGGAGCTCAAACTCTTTCTCTCTCTCAGGTTTACCACAAGGTGACTTCCTGCTTCTTCACACACACTCTCTCCAGTACAGGTTAGCTCTGAGTGTTAGCATGCTAATGTAAACACAGACCATATTACTTCCAGAACACGTCTCATTGTTTCTGACAGCAACGTTTCTGATTGGCCCGTGGGTGTAAAGCCCGCCCACATTTTAGTAATGTGGTCTCACTTGAGGCCAGGAAAAGGCTCTGTGACCTTTTGACCTGTGCTGGACTATGGTGATTTGATCTATCTGAATGCACCTGCCCATTGCCTGGAAAGGTTAGATGCCGCCTATCACAGCGCACTGAGATTTGTCACTAACTGTAAAGCACTCACTCATCACTGTACCCTGTATGCCAAGGCAGGTCTGCCATCACTTCCTGTACGGAGGCTCAGTCACTGGTACACGTTTATTTATAAAGCTTTGTTGGGTAAACTCCCGTATTCTATCTGCTCTCTGATAACACAGAGAGAGCAGCTATTGTCTGAGATCGCATGATGTAGTCTTGTTAGATGAGCCAAGAGCAAGGACTGTCTTAGGTGAGACAGCTTTTATGCGCAGCTCCACTTGCTTGGAACAATCTTCAGCAAGAATTGAAACTGAGCAATCTCATTCCTCTGCATGTTTTTAAAGCTAGGCTAAATGAAATGCTCGTTGATACTATGGGTACTTGTAAATGTCTATAACTATGTAAATGTATCCTGTAAATATAATGTATGATGTCCTTTATTGTTTTATGTCTCATGTGGAACCTATATGCTGCAGGTCTCCCTTGAAAAAGAGATCTATGATCTCAATGGGACCATCTGGTTAAATAAAGGTTTGAGATGAAATGAAATTAATGTATTATAAAGTGTTCTTATGTGTATTATAATGTGTATTAATGTATTATAATGTGTATTAATGTGTTATAATGTGTATTCATGTGTTATAATGTGTATTAATGTATTATAATGTGTATTAATGTGTATTCATGTGTTATAATGTGTATTAATGTATTATAATGTGTATTAATGTGTTATAATGTGTATTCATGTATTATAATGTGTATTAATGTGTATTATAGCATGTAATAATGTGTATTGGTGTCTCAGGATGCGCACAGCGCTGTGATGGAGAAACTGGGCTTTGGTCCAGGCAGGAAGGAGCTGCAGGAGACGGTGGAGACTCAGAGGAAGCAGCTGCTGCAGTACCAGAGCCGCTTTAAAGACGTGGTGCGAGCCTATAAGAGCCTTCTGAAGGAGAAGGAGGCTCTGGAGGCCAGCCTGACGGTGCTGAGCGTCTCACAGCAGGACCCCCATGGAGCAGGAGGACCCCCCCCCCCAGGACCCCCCCAGGAGGACGGCTGCTCGCTGCACAGCGAGGACAGCCTGGACACAGCAGCGTCTGTGGAGGAGAGCGAGGACCAGCCAGAAGAACCAGCCGTGGTGAGACTTAATTATTATCAAAACTACCAACCTGCTGAGCTAACTCACTCTGAGTCAAGCTAACTCACCCTGAGTCAAGCTAACTCACCCTGAGTCAAGCTAACTCAGCCTGAGTCAAGCTAACTTAAACTGAGTCAAGCTAACTCACCCTGAGTCAAGCTAATTTACCCTGAGTCAAGCTAACTTACCCTGAGTCAAGCTAACTTAAACTGAGTCAAGCTAACTTAAACTGAGTCAAGCTAACATAAACTGAGTCAAGCTAACATAAACTGAGTCAAGCTAACTTAAACTGAGTCAAGCTGAGTCAAGCTAACATAAACTGAGTCAAGCTAACTTACCCTGAGTCAAGCTAACTTACCCTGAGTCAAGCTAACTTACCCTGAGTCAAGCTAACTTACCCTGAGTCAAGCTAACTTAAACTGAGTCAAGCTAACTTACCCTGAGTCAAGCTAACTTACCCTGAGTCAAGCTAACTTACCCTGAGTCAAGCTAACTTAAACTGAGTCAAGCTAACTTACCCTGACTCAAGCTAACTTACGCTGAGTCAAGCTAACTTACCCTGAGTCAAGCTAACTTAAACTGAGTCAAGCTAACTTACCCTGAGTCAAGCTAACTTAAACTGAGTCAAGCTAACTTAAACTGAGTCAAGCTAACTCACCCTGAGTCAAGCTAACTTACCCTGAGTCAAGCTAACTTAAACTGAGTCAAGCTAACTTAAACTGAGTCAAGCTAACTCACCCTGAGTCAAGCTAACTTATACTGAGTCAAGCTAATTTACGCTGAGTCAAGCTGCAGTCTAAGGTGCTTTTCCTCCTGCAGGCGTTGCAGAGCGACCTAGATGCCGGCGGCTCGGACAGCAGTAGAGTGGGGGCGGAGCCTCTGCTGCAGGCCACGCCCCCTCCCAGCTCGGAGGCGGAGCGTCGGCTCGCTCAGCTGAAGAACCAGCTGACGACGCTAACAAGCGCGCTCGCCACCGTCACGCAGGAGAAGTCCCGCATGGAGGCCAGCTTCCAGGCCGACAAGCGGCAGCTGAAACAGGAAGTGGAGGAGCAGGAGGCGGAGCTTCACGCCCTGCAGATGCACAAGGAGGCGGAGCTTCACGCCCTGCAGATGCAGCAGGAGGCGGAGCTTCATGCCCTGCAGCTGCAGCTAGCAGAGAGCCGCGCTCGCATCATCACGCAGCAACACGAGCGGCAGCAGGAGCAGGACGACCACGCGCTGCAGCTGAGAGAGCTGCAGAGGATCCTCCAGCAGGAGAGAGACATGCGGCAGGACGCAGAGCTGCGGCTGCAGGAGGGGGCGGAGTCTCAGTCACACCTGCAGCAGGTGAGGGACGACAGGGACGAGCTGAGCAAGAAGCTGCAGGCCGCAGAGGACGAGCGCAGGAAACCAGACCCCCGAGCGGAGCAGCTGCAGAGAGAACTGACGCAGCTGAAGACCAGGATCCAGGACCAGATCAGCGCCGAGACCAGGAAGGTGAGCTAACCAGGGATAAGCTAACCGGGGCTAAGCTAACCGGGGTTAAGGGTTAGGGTTAACCCTGTGTTGCATAGATAAAGATAGGCTAACCCCCCCCTGTGTTGCAGGCCTGCGAGGCGGAGCAGAGGTCATGTGAGGCGGAGCAGAGGTCATGTGAGGCGGAGCAGAGGTCACGTGACCGCGCTCAGGCGGCGGAGGACCGGGTCTCGGTTCTGGAGCTGCGGGTCTCGGAGCTGTCGGAGCTGCTGGGCTCGTCTGAGAAGCAGAGGCAGCGAGAGCAGCATGCGGCGCAGCGACTGCGAGAAGAAGTCCTGCAGCTGGAGGCAGAGAACAAGACGCTCGCCATCAGGACGGAGGGCAGGTCGGAGGGCGAGGAGCAGTTGGACGTGGTGGTGCTGAAGGAGAAGCTGGAGAAGGTGAAGAAGCTGCTGCAGCAGAGGAACCCGGAGCAGGACGTCCTGCCGGACCAGGCGGCAGCGCATTATCAGCAGGAGCTGCGCGCGCTGCGGGACGAGTTTGAGCGATACAAGCTGCGGGCGCAGCTGGTTCTGAAGAATAAGAACACCAAGGACGGCTGCCAGGCCAAGGAGCTGGAGGAGGTCCGGGACCAGCTGTCGGAGCTGAAGGAGAAGTACATCAACCTGCGGATCCACAGCGACGAGGCGGAGGCCGTGCAGCGCCGCATGCTGGAGGAGCGGCAGCAGCTGGCCGCAGCGCTGCAGCTGCAACACAGACAGGAAGCGGAGCGGGCGGCCGCGCTGCACCGCGAGCAGCTGCTGCGTCTGGAGGCGGAGCTTCACAAACAAAGAGGCAGGACCATGCAGCTGCTGCAGGAGAAGGAGCAGGAGCTGGAGGCGCTGCGAGCCGCTGCCCCTGCCCCCGTGCAGGAGTCCGACAGCGATGCCCTCAGCGTGGCGCTGCGGCGAGCTGCGCCCAGCGAGCCCACGCTGCTGCTGTACGCAGAGCAGCTGGCCAGGAAGGAGGCGGAGGCTGGAGCTCTGCGGAGAGAGAAGCACCGGCTTCAGGACGAGCTGCACCGCCTGCAGGCCGCAGCGCTCGCTGGCGCAGAGCAGCACGGAGAGGAGGCGGCCGCGCTGAGAGGACGCGTCGACAAACTGCAGCGAGACCAGAGCCGCGAGGGCGCCAACATGGAGTATCTGAAGAACGTCACCTACAAGTTCCTCACGCTGCAGGACGCCAGCGGACGCATGCAGACGCTCAACGCCATCCTGACCATCCTGAGCTTCAGCCCGCAGGAG